AGATACATAAATCTTGAGATATAATATATATCCTTATCTAAACACTATATATCCCCACATATACATTACTCAGAACAAACGAATAAAGAAAAATATACTCGTATAGACCAATATAATATCAAAAGTCGTCTATAATCTAGAGATATATTATATATCCTAATACATTTTCCATGGAAATTGGTCTGTATGCTCGGGTTCTAATTCCTTGAATTGTTTCACTGGTATATACGGAGATACTTTAATCTAGATATATATTATATATCCTAATCAGTATCACTATATTATATATACTCAAATATATACTATTATAAAGGAAAAAAACCAGATAGCAAGAGATAATGGGAACCAGAGAGCAACAGATTCTGTCAAAAATTGAAACCTAAATTGAGCATATACAATAAGAACTATATACCTCTATTCTATGCAAAATTGAAACCTAAATATAACATAAAATACTATATAAGGGGACATGACGGACTGGATTGCTCATGCGACGGAGGAAGAAGATGAAATTAGAACTTACAGTGTAATGGAGTTGACGTAGCCGCCGAAGACGAAGGAAGCGCGACGATGTTGCCCTATGAAATGCGACGGAGGCCGCGGGAGAAATCTTTTGCAAAGAATGGAGAAGCACCCGCCGGAGAAATCTCTTGAGTAACGTCGACGAGAAGCTTGAAGAGGGAGAAACCGTACGGTCGAAGCAGTGAAGAGGGAGAAACCGACAGAGATGAAGGAGGTTACGAAATCATGGATTTTCAGAAATTTCAGTTTTGGAAATTTGAATTAGCTTAGGGATTTGATATATTTTAATAATTATTTACCAATTTCATATTTTATTAATGATTTAATATTGAGATGGATATATTAGTAATTTCTATTATCGGCACCATCTATTTTGGGAATTATTTTAGACAAAAATGTAAATTCTAGAACTTTCAATCATTTTATGTAATTAGGTCTCCTAAATAGACCATCTATGTACTAATCCCTTTTGTTTTTTGTTTTTTGTTTTTGGTTTTTAGTTTTTTAAAAATAGGGTTGTTTGATAACCAATTTAATTTTCTGTTTTTTATTTTTCAAAAACCATTTTAAAATTCTAGGTAAATTTCAAAAACAAAAAAAGTAGTTTTCAAAAACAGATTTTTGTTTTTCAAAATCTGATTTTTTTCTTCTATACTAATTTTTTTTTTCTTTCTCATATTTAACTCTAAGGGCCCGTTTGATAACCATTTTAGTTTTAAGTTTTTGGTTTTTCTTGTTTTTAGTTTTTGGTTTTTGGTTTTCTGATTTTAAAAAACAAAAACCATATATGTTTAATAACCAACTTTTGTTTATTGTTTTTAAAAAACAAAAAACCAAACCATGTTTGGTAACCATTTTTAGTTCTTTGTCTTCCCCTCATGTAGAAACAGGAAAATATATATGTAAATAAACTTTTGGAAGATAAATTTTAGAGAGATAAATAAAAATATTTAGAAAAAAAAATAGGTTGAGAAAAGTTAAAGACAAAAAGAGAAAAATTTTGGAGAAAAAAATAAAGTCGAGAGGAAAAGATATATTAAAGAAAAAAAAAAGAAATTATAAAGAAAGAGACAAATTCCAGTGGAAAGAAATTTAGAGATAAAAACAAGATTCAAAATATAATTTTTATATAAAATAAATAAAAACAAAAATAAATAAAAGTTACAGTGAAATTGAACGAGAAAATAAAATATAATTTTTAGAAGAAAAAATAGATTACGGAGAGACAAAAAAGTTATAAAACACAAAATTTTCGAGATAAAAAAATTAGGAAAAATATTAATTTTTTAGAGAGAGAAATGAAACTCATCTGTTAGAAAAAAAACAAATATACAGAAAATGTTGGAGGAAGACAAATAACAATAAATATTCAAAATATGAAAATTTTAAAGAGAAAAAATAGAGTTTGTAGAGAGAAATTTAGAAATAAAAAAAATTTAGAGTGAAAAATAAATTTTTTAGGGATAAATATGAGAAAGAAAAAAAAAGTTTTTTGAAAAACAAAAACCTGTTTTTGAAAACTACTTTTTTTTTGTTTTGAAATTTACATAGGATTTCAAGATGGTTTTTGAAAAACAAAAAACAGAAAATTGAATTGGTTATCAAACGATCCTGTTTTTGAAAAACTAAAAACCAAAGACCAAAAACCAAAAACAAGAAACGAAATGGTTATCAAACGGGCCCTAAAAAATTTATTTCCCGCTCTAAAACTTTTTTATTCCTAAATTTCTCCCCACAAACTTTATTTTTCTCTCTAAAATTTTCATATTTTGAATATTTATTATTATTTGTCTCTCTCTAAATTTTTCTGTATGTTTGTTTTTTATTTTTAATAGATCAGTTTCATTTCTTCCTCTAGAAAGTTAATATTTTTCTTAATATTTTTATCTTTTTTTTCTGTTCGTAATCTATCTTTTCTTCTGAAAATTATATTTTATTTTATCGTTCAATTTTCTTTCACTTTATTTATCTTTGTATTTATTTATTTTCTCTAAAAATTATATTTTGATTCTGGTTATTATCTCTACATTTGTTTCCACTGTAATTTTTTCCTTTCTTTATAATTTCTTTTTTTTTCTTTAACATATCTTTTCCTCTCGCCTTTATTTTTTTTCTACAATTTTTCTTTTTTTGTCTTTAACTTTTCTTTGACTATTTTTTTCTAAATCTTTTTATTTATCACTCTAAAATTTATCTTCTAAAAGTTTATTTACATCTGTCTAAACTTATATTTTCATGTCAGGGAAGACAAAAATTTTCGCAAGGTCGGGTCCCAAAAATAGGAAATGCATGTCCCGACCCCATCCCCGTCCCCAATTCTATTTTTTAAATAATTAATATATATTTATTACACTTTTTTATACTTAAATACTTAAATTTTAAAAATAATTATAAACAATTATAAACTTGATAATTTTTCTCGAGAACATCTCTCGGACCCAAGAATGAGGTGGAGACAAAGACTAAAAATTTTCACAGAATGGGGGAGAGTATCCTCACTCGCACCCACACCATTGTCATCTCTACTCTACATAAAGTTTTCTCTCTCTAATATATATTTTCAATTTTCGAACTTTTTAAAAACAAAAAACTAAAAATGGTTAACAAACATATCTTGGTTTTCTATTTTTTAAAAACAAAGAACAAAAAATGTTTACCAAATATATATAGTTTTTGTTTTTTTAAAAACAGAAAACCAAAAACCAAAAAATCAAACCGACCATTAATATATCTTAAAACTAAACCTTGTCATGATTTTATGATTAACTTGTTTTGAAAGAACAAGTCTCTGTTAGCCTTCCTCAATAAATTTTAGAAATATGTACTAAAAATAAATAAATTTTAGAAATATATTCACATCTGTCTTCTCTTGAATGAAAACTATTGTTACTACTTTGCCAAGTTGGATAAAAGTGAACTTCAAACTAATGACGTGAACCGATTTTAAGATTAAAGGAAGTGGAAAAACAAAATTTAAACATTTGAGATTACGAGGATTGAAATGGAGGAAGACCCAAACGACGGAAAATTGGTGATTTAAACAAAATATCTATAATATATATTAAAAAGTAGGGAGAACAAACATTTTTTTTTGGACAATATTATCCTTCATTTTTTTACTTAATACAATACATACCCTTTATGCTTAAGTTTTTATTTTACTTTTCTTTCCTTTTAAAGTTATATTCTTCCTCGTTATTTTGATTTTTTTTACCATTTATAAAATTCTATTTCAGTTTTTATTCAGTGCCACTACATTTCGTATAAATCTACGTGTAGGTTTTGATTTTATTGTTTTGATTTTATTGTTTTGATTTTTGTATTTTGATTTTTTTTTGTTGCCTTTTCAAATTCTATTTTAAGTTTATAGGTTTTATTTTAATTTATTTTAATTTTGATTTTTTTTCTACATTTTAAAATTCTATTTCACTTTACGTCTAAAATATTAAGAATGTGAGTACTTTTTCTTTTTCTTTTTTTTTATCATCATTTAATAATATTTAATTATATAATATTAAAAGATGGTACAATTTTAAATCATTTTACATCCTTTAAATATTGGATATATATATACGTTTCTTATCTTTTGTTTTTTAGTTTTATTAATGAGTATATCTATATTTATATTTATGTTTATATCTATGATGCATGTGAAATAAACTTTTTTTTTTCTTTTTGATAAAATTGTCCTTTTTTTCGTTAAATACCATATATATCTTTTTTTTACTTTCTATTTGCCGACAAATTTTCAAAATAATTTGTTCTGTTTTGTTTTGATTTTTCTTAAGCACTTAAAATTTGGATGCTAATTAAGAAGAAATAAATATGTTTAATTTGTTTGTATCTTGAAATTCTATCGAATATTGATTTATCATATGAAAAATTTTCATATAATATTTAATTATAAATATAAAAGTTGTGGAATCTCAAAAGTTTTAAAACTTCTCCATCCCTTTCAACTATAAAAATAACTCTCTTCCATCCATTTCTAACACAATTAATTGAGGTTGATTTCTTTATTTCTAATTTTTGTACTTTTATTTCATTATTATTGTTTTTACTTTTCGGTCTCATGATTTTTAATGGTAAGGTTTCTTAATTTTAATTTTACAATTGTAGTAGATCACATTCAAATATCTCAAAGTACGTTGTTTAGTAGTCTTAAACATTGGTGAAAGGTAAATATATGTACATATAATTCATTACAATATAATTGATCATATTTAAACATTTAAAAATTTGTTTATTAAAAACATATTTATTTTTAAGTAATAATAATAACAACTATTCACTTAGATGGGAAAAAAATAAAGTACAATGTGCAAAGCACATACTAACATACTAGTTAACTTAAAATTCTCAATAATAATTTCAATTTGCATGATTTTAATTTATTTTTAATTTGGTTGCTAAATCATAGTTATTATCCTCATAGCATATGATAATTCTACCCCTAAAAATTTCACTTTAAATTCCTATTAAAATAAGCCAAAGTCATTTATACGATTTTAGGCATGAAATGTCGTCCATTACCATTTTTTGACCAATGAACTCCTATAGCACCCACACTAATCACTCTTGCATTTCATTCTTTTTCCCTCTTTTTTAGAAAAACAATCAAATATGATCATATTTCTGCTGGGAAACAAACACAAATTCAATTCTGGTTTAAGAACTTGCCTACAAGTCCTCCATGACTTCGGCAATGGTGACAAATCGACCATTCTCTATAGAAAGTTGTGCAGCAACTCCCATGGCAACTGAAATCAATCCATCTCGCAACTCTACTGCAGGAACTCGTCCATCTCCAGCTCTGATTGCAAACAAAAAGTTCATGTGTTCCAAATAGCTAGATCCATGATGCAGACCTTCGTACCTAACATAAAAATTTATTTGAGATAAAGTTTGTTTTCGTGGACTGAAGATTGTGTAAGAGTAGAGTCAGATTATAAGTAGTTCAAGAGAAAGCAACTTACTTGATTCTGCCATCCTCTGCTTTTAATGTTTCGACTCCGTCTCTCCCGTTAACTCGAGTGCCGAATCTAACAATGTTTTCAGGAACAAAAGCCTCTCCCTGTTACCAAGTTTTTTACTAGATGTGGAAGTGGAAAATTGATGAACACTGACATTTTTGTAGAGGGGAATTTTTTTCAATTTTGCATAGAGTGGCTGGCTGTGGAGAGAACTTTACCTTTCCTATATCACCAACAACCGATATCTCCTGCTCGTTTCTACTTCCCTCGGCAAACATACAAAGATCCAGCATCCCTCGCGAACCATTGTCAAATTCAACTATTACATATGCATTGTCAAGTATATCTGGAACCTGACCCAAATACAAGACAAGGTTGCTACTTTGGAGAATGATGATGAAAGTTTTATGTATGCAAAAGATCTGGCATGTTGTACAGACAATAAAAGATTTTACGACTTAAAATTCTTAACTCAATTGGAGGAAAAGAAAAAAACATTAAGCTCAAAATCCCACTTGCACTGTTACGGTTATGGCTAATTGTCAAATAAAAACCTCAGCAAGGACAAGTGACCAGCGTTTATCAGTTCAACAGTTTGCGTTCAACAACACGTGGGATAGAGATTCGAACGTCGCTAACCTTTTAATCATGAATATATGTCTTAACCAATTGAGTTATGCTCAAGCAAGCAAGTTTGACAACTTTACTCCAGAATGATGTAATGTATGCATAGTTCCTTTATCAGTCTAGAACGTTAAGAACAATTTGTCCTACTTCACAAACAAAGCACCATATGCTCAATTCAGCAGTAACAAGTTTGCACAATGATTTTAAAGGCTGTGTAGTATCCAAGTGCATATAAATTTACCTTCCCATCATATATTTCATCTTTGTGATTAACATCAATTGCTCCAGATGCCATCAAACGGATAGGATTTGCCCCTGCAAACAGCCTCATCAGATCAAAGAAATGACAGCATTTCTCCACCAGAGTTCCCCCCGTATTACTATTGAACCGGTTCCAGTTGTTGACCTACTAGAAGTGTGAGTGCAAAACTCAAAAGTTTACTTTATAAAGCATAAATGTAAAGATTTTGAAACTGACCTTAACCAAGAAAGGAAATCGATGTTCACGAATTGCCACCATTTTAACCTGTCCAAGATTCCCACCCTTAACTATGTCAATCAGTTTAGCTACTGGCGGCATGTATCTGTACTCCAGTCCAACTTGAACCAGAATCCCCTCCCTCTTTTTTGCAGCCATCACAACCTATTCCACACGGGAAAATACAGTCTCTTTTACTCATGGCAACACAAAAATTACAGATGTCGTTCATAGTGCTACCACGCCTAGGAATTAAACTTGCATGCTTGGTGGGCTGGAGCCCTTTCCTTTGAGGCCTTTTGTAATTATCAGCTAGGTGTTATTCTTTTGGATTGGAACCATTTTCTTTAGTGGGCATCCTCTTGTTTTATGCTCTTGTTCTTGTTATTATTTTCATTTGCCTCAATGAAAGCTTGGTTTCTTATCAAAAATAAAAATAAAAAAATCATGCTTGGTGGTGTATGTAAAGGAAAAATCCATATCATGAGTTCAATTCCCACCCACAATCATTGGTCAGTAAATCATGATTTTGATGATAATTAGTATAGCTAATACTAATAGTTTTACAGCCAAATTGCCAACAAATGATTGACCTCTTTGCAGTGAGCAACAGTTGTGCATAACGGCTTCTCCACAAGTACATGATGAGGTCTGGGATGGTTGATGATATCCATTAGAATTTGATAGTGAGTCATATTTGGAGATGAGACAACCAATACATCACAAAGTCCACTATCCAAAAGCTGCAGGTGCCCTGAGAAAACCTTTCAAACTCTATACGTTAGAGTTAGAAACATTACCCAATTGAAAACTTATTTTGACAAATTAAACTGCTAATGGAGATAATAGTTGGTTTATGGAGTTTGATTGGTTCAAAGGATAACATCTTATTGTTTAACAACAGTTGGAAACAAAGAGTAGAAATATCATCCGACTGTTATTTTGCTCTGGACCGTATGAAAAAACCAAGATACTACTCCAATTAAAGCGACGTTGACTATTTGAGACAATTAAAAGGAAAATCAACCATGTTCTTATAGCCTCCTAGTTTTGTCAATAAGCACTGCAAATATAAACTAGAGAAAATCTTGTTTAATATATATATATATATATATTTTCGAAAGTCATCCAGCGAAACAGCCAAAATATATATATATATATATATATATAATATCCGTGTGTCCAGGACAACTTGCGCGCATCTCGACTAATCACGGAACAACTGTCTGACCCTACTACATTTGGTTGACAAGGAAACTCGTAAAATATTAAATTCTATGTTGGTGGTCATCATGGTTTGTATCCATTCCCTTTGCTATTTACATTGGTATTTATTCATCACTAGGCCATCGCAGGATGATTATTGTTTAATAATTTCTATCCGTCCACCTTAAAAAAGACTGCTATCAGAGCGATTTTTAATAATATTTTGCTTCTTCTCGAATAAGAGAACAGTCAGAACTATTCAGACAGTCCACATCCAAACTTATCACTTCGATCTAGCACAAATCCAACACTAGTTTCAAACTTAGTTCTACTTTACAAACTACTTCCACGAGATTAGTTACTGATCAAGTCCTACAAATAAAGTTGAAAATTAGCATTTGCGTAGGGAATCCAGCATCGTTTCCAATGACCACGAGAACAGAACAGAACAGCCATAGATAAGGAGGTTCAAATTAGGCGATGAAACACTCTCGACAGTGAAATCTAAGATTAAAGAACACTGCATACCTCGATACGCCAGCCGAGTGAGTGTGCTAAATCGAGGGCTTGGCGCTGTGATGAAGCGTGCGGGTCTGCTATAGCGACAACCGCGACGCCTTGGTCGCGAAGATGGTAGAGATTAAGGAGGTGTTCTCGGCCCATCATCCCCACCCCAATGATTCCATACTTGACTGTAGAGTCAGTAGCCATGGATGAGAAGGAGCTGCTGCTCGAAATTGCTTCCCGTTTTGCACCTCTGCGCTTCAATGGCTTCCCTCCACGAAGCGAGAGATTATCGCGGGGCGGCCGTTCACTTCCCTCCACGAAGTGACATCTGTCATTTTTTTTAAGCGAACCTGCAGTTGGATTTACTAACATATATATATATATAATCTATTTATTTTTAATTAGAAATGTAATTTAAAAATATAAAATAATATTTTTTTATAAATATTTTTATAAAATAAAAAATATAAACTAACAATATATATTTCTCTTGAAAAAAATGTCTTCAATTAAATGAAAATAGTTTTACAAAGCTCCTAATCAATAAGCTCCATAAATTTCTCTTAATTTTGATTAACTACCCCTTTATTCTATTGAAAAAAGACTAATATTTTAACCGTAGTATTCCATGTCACTTTATTTTATCCGACTACATATTTCTTCCTCTAATATTATAATATTATTATTTAATTAACAAGATCTATCATAGAGATTACTTGAAATCATAATTCAAATTTTAGAATTCAAAGAGTAATTCAAAAATTTTAAAAATTTATGGATATCTAGTGTTGATGCGTGAATTATGTCTTGGTTGCCTCCAAGGTTCGCACCAAACTCAATAATCAAGGGACCGAATACCTGCAAAACCGAACAAAACCTAAACTGGTGTGACTTTTGTTACACGGGCTCCGATACTTAAATTAGCAAGAGGAGATTTGATGAGCAAAGTAATTAGGGGGTTCTTCTTGCTTACCTTAGGTTTAGGCAACATGATTTATTTATAGTCACTTGAAGGTTGTAGAACATTCTAAATGAGCCTTAGATGATTTTTGTGAAGGCCAAATGTTTCGTAGACAACATGATAAGACTTGATTAAAGGCTAAAAAGTGTAGGTTTACATGCAGTGGCGGATCCAGAAATTTTGTTGAGGGACGCTTCATACTAATAAGTAATTTTTAGGATTTTCAAGATCCTTTTTGTAACTATGCTCTATAAACATGGTCTTCAATATTACAATTGTAATCGACAATTATAGTTTTTAAGCTAGAATTTATCGGTAATTTTTCTAAATTTTCTGATCTATTATTATTTTTCAAGATGACAACTTATCGATTTTCTCATATAGTATCTCTATTTAGATTCCAAATTAAATCTACAAGAATATTAATAAAAAATAAAATAAAAAGTTAAACACATAAAATACGAATGATAATAATTATGTGTATTAAAGCCGTTGAAACATGACAATTTTATATTTTAATCGAAACTTTTACTAACTATTATATTTAAAATAACATCAAATAGTCAAATTCGTAGTATATAAGAGGTAAAGTTAATAAAAATTTACCTTAGATGAATCTCCAAATTTTTAATTTCTTTAAGTTGTGCCAAATTGAAATTAAATAAGAACAATTGAATATGAAAATTACAATTTAAAGATAAGAAAAAAAAGATATCAGTACAATAATTTATAAAAAAAAACTTTTTTTACCTATATGCAACGACCATGTATAAATTAAAAACAAAAACAATTTTTGGAACGGCATACAACAATAAGACTTTAAAGGTCATACCAACTTATTTTTGACATATTTTTATAGGAAATTTACCATTATTATTTTTTTTTT